ACTGGAGCAGGTTCAGGTACATTCAGGAGCCGGTGCATGCCCAGTACTTGTACTTACCAACAGTGCGTAACAGAGACGTGACCGATCGCCCAAGCGGCTAACGAGCTGATCAGTGGTGAAGAGGATAAAAGAAAAAGAATATGAGTATCAGATTCATCACAGACAAACAAGTTACTGCAGTTTTATTTAGAAGTCATTTACTAAAGAGCTTGGGGTGTTGGTGGTACAGCAGTACAGTAATATGATAGCCTCTCACAACTGCATTAAGGGTTCAATCCCCAGGTCGGTTGCAAGAAGGGTGTTATTTAGTGCAGATTGCCTCCAGGTAATTCAGTCTCCTCTTGTACTAACACTGGACAACAAAGTTCATAACAAAGAACTGACCAACCTTCCAAATGGCCAGTAAGCTGACAAGTACGGTTGTGGAAATTATAACTTAATTAAATTAAACAAATATATAGTATAGTTTACAGGGAAAGGATACCATTCTTCATTATTTTCTCATTATCTTGATGCTTTCACATATCTGAATAATGTGCTGTACTGTTTCAGGTAAAGTGGTGTTTCTTGCTCCAGTTTGCACATGAGCTTGGTGTACCCATGAACTAGACAGTGGTCTGTGGGTGGTGGGTCATAGAGCCTTGCTAGATCCAGCCAAACAGCACATTTATATGTTGCATTTGTCTGTCATACTCACACAGTAGGCTGCATCCTCAGGGGTTCCATAGATCCTGTTAGTATGAGGGACAATGATCAGAAATGTCTTTCATGTACGTATTTACAGTGTGTTAGGTGTGTTTAAAAAGTGTCCAGACATACTGATGTGTGTGTGTGTGTGTGAGAGTACTATATGTGTTGTTTCATACTGTGGTAGCATTCTTTAGTGGATTTATGATCACAGACCCTTTGAGCATTCTCTCCCTTTTTTATACGTTATACTACAGTGCTCGCCTCATGTTCTGAATGTTTCTGGTTGCATCTGGGGCACTCTCAGTCCACCCAGCTTTAAATGGAAATGATGACAGTTGAGTATAGTGTCGGCCATGCTGCCTTCTTGCATACTGAAGGTTTAGCAAATTGTGTGCTGCATCCACACTCTAATAGGCCTATTAGACCCAATTTACACATAGTGATACATACACAGTAATATTTTTCCTACGTCTTTCAAAATCACTTGTTTATTCTGTATAGTCTTTAGGTTCAGTATACTTCCTTTGTAATGCAAAAATACAGTAATGAATGCTTCATACCAGGATATGATTGCCAAAGACAGTTTAACCTTAAGAAAAGTTCCTCATACAGTATTATAATAGGGAAAAAATTAATAATAAAGAGATATTCAGGAATATAGGAATTCTGAGGCAAGGCATGTTGCAGTTTATAAGAAATTATGTTAAATTTTCTACTATCTGAAATAGGTTAAGGTAATCATTGCATAATATGCTTTGAAAGTTTGAATACTGTACTGTATATAAAATTTTGTATTACAGATCAAGTTTATTTATCCAATATCCATAGGATTTAAAAAATTATCTCTTACTAGCCTTTTCTAGGAATGCAGCCCCAGTACATTATAAATGAGGGCAACCTATACAGTACAGTATGCTGTACAAGTACTGAGCTTTAAATATAAATTTTTTCTTGGTGAATGAGTTTACAGTTTTTGTGTACCCTGTATGTATGCACAGTATACATGTAAACAACAATGTGTGTGCCTGTAAGTGTATGGTTTTATCTATCTTTTAATGTTTCATCACTTTTTATGTAGGTTTCAGGCCCGTAAAAAACACTGTAAGTGGAGTGTAAATTTCTGAGATATTTAGAGGAGCAGTAGAGATGGACTCTGCATCCCAACATTATCTAGAAGCAAACATTATGACTTTTTTTTGTGTGTGCGTGCTTGCGTACGTGCATACATGCATGCTTTCCTCTTCCCTGATATTATTTTCATTTCTTACCTTCAGATTTTTTTCCTATACAGTGACCCCTCCGTTAACGAACCCAATCCGTTCCAGAAGGTCGTTCGTTAACCGAAAAGTTCGTTAACCGAAACCATTGTTTCAATGGGTTTTTGGGTAATTGGTTCCAGCTCACCGAAAATTTCCTAAATTCAACAAAAATGGTAGAAAAGTTCACTTACTCTGAGGTGTGTATGTAGAAGGCTCCTGGATGATGATGATGGGATTTAGAATGGGGGTGGAGGAGAAGAAAGAAGAGAAGGCATTGGGGTGGAAGAGAAGTCACCCCATGGCGCCATTTCACCCATAAAATTTTAGCTCTGGTGTAATTCAAGATTATTTTCTTTAAATCAACACTGCACTGCATTATATATTGTCAATATGTAAAATATATTTCAAAATGCTTGGAAACACAGAAAAAAGCGTTTAGTTGAAGAGAGTCTCAAGCAAGATGTTACCTCCAGTGAAAACAGAGAGAGACTAACTCATGTTTGCTGTGTTAAGAGGCTGGATGCCGCTCATTAAACTAGTCACTTTACCTTCAATTATGTTCAATAATTGTTAAAATGACTAAAAAATTGAATATTAAACTTTTAAAATTATTGAATAGTATAAACTTCTTGATAGTTACTAAAATAGTAAGGAATTTAAGCCCTAGAACCGATTAATGTATTGGCGGACTGATACTAAAGCTGGTTGCCCGGTCAGTGCAAGCGAAAACATGTTGAGGTCGGTTCGTAAGAAGTTTGTTAAGCAAATTTTTTTTCGTTAACCGAATTGAAGATCCTTATGGAAGGCAGTTCGTTAATCGAAATTACGTTAACCGAGGTGTTCGTTAAACGAGGGGTCACTGTATGTTTTTTGTTTGAATTTTGTCTTTATTGCAATATACAGTTGACAACCCTAAGGGTTGAACCCTTTATCCGAAATTCCAAAAACCGAAAAGCTCCAAAAACCGAAAGTTTTTTTTGTGGGCATTTTATTTATTTATTTATTTTATTTTATTTTATTTTATTTTTTTTGTCTTCCTCTTTCTCCTTTCTCTCTCTCCAGGGATTAGCCCACCCGGGCATAGATCACTGACCCACATTGGGGCCTGGGGGGCGAAAATGTAATACGTAGTAATAATACAGTGGCCCCTCGGTTAACGAACTCAATCCGTTCCAGAAGGTCGTTCGTTAACCGAAACGTTCGTTAACCGAAACCATTGTTTCAATGGGTTTTTGGGTAATTGGTTCCAGCTCACCGAAAATTTCCTAAATTCAACAAAAATGGTAGAAAAGTTCACTTACTTTGAGGTGTGTATGTAGAAGGCTCCTGGATGATGATGATGATGATGGGATTTAGAATGGGGGTGGAGGAGAAGGAAGAAGAGAAGGCATTGGGGTGGAAGAGAAGTCACCCCATGGTGCCATTTCACCCATAAAATTTTAGCTCTCTGGTTTAATTCAAGATTATTTTCTTTAAATCAACGCTGCACTGCATTATATATTGTCAATATATAAAATATATTTCAAAATGACCAATAATTTGCTTGGAAACACAGAAAAAAAGCGTTTAGTTGAAGAGAGTCTCAAGCAAGATGTTACCTCCAGTGAAAACAGAGAGAGACTGACGCCTGTTTGCTGTGTTAAGAGGCTGGATGCCGCGCATTAAACTAGTCACTTTACCTTCAATTTTGTTCAATAATTGTTAAAATGACTAAAAAATTGAATATTAAACTTTTAAAATTATTGAATAGTATAAACTTCTTGATATTTACAAAAATAGTAAGGAATTTAAGCCCTAGAACCGATTAATGTATTGGCGGACTGATACTAAAGCTGGTTGCCCGGTCAGTGCAAGCGAAAACATGTTGAGGTCGGTTCGTAAGAAGTTCGTTAAGCGAATTTTTTTTCGTTAACCGAATTGAAGATCCTTATGGAAGGCAGTTCGTTAATCGAAATTACGTTAACCGAGGTGTTCGTTAAACGAGGGGTCACTGTAATTATAATAATTATTCATAGTAAATAAAAATTTTAATAAAAAATATACCAAAATAAAATAATAATGATAACAATAATAATAATAATAATAATAATAATAATAAAATATAATAATGAAATTAATAATAATAATAATAATAATAATAATAATAATAATAATAACAGTAAAACTGTAATAATATAATAATAATAAAAAATACAAGAATGAAAAAAAAGACCAAAAGTGAGAAACACGACCTACAGTAGACCTATGAATTGTTATTATTATTATAATTTGTATTATATTTTCGCCACCCAGGCCCTAATGTGGGTCAGTGACTTGTGCCCGGGTAGGCTAAAAAAAAAAAAAAAAAAATAACCATTCTGAAAACCGAAAAATTCCGAAATCTGAAATGCCTCTGGCCCCAAGGATTTCGGATAAGGGATTGTCAACCTGTACATATACAGTAGCTCTTCTAATTCTGTCCCCCCTTCGAAATCTATGGAACCCCTAGGGACTGTTGAGGGGTTGTGAGTACTGTTTAAGCTCCTGCTGAATTTTGTGTACATTTTGCAAGTAATCATCAAGTTAGTATCATATCCTTTACACTAGTTGTAATAAAGAATATTTTCTTAATAGTTTTCAGCAGTAAAAATATCTTTAATAGAGAATGGCTGAGGCTCAAGTTGGCTTTTTGGGTGCATAATACTCATTTCTATGATACTGAATTTTTTAAGGCCTAGATAGTTGTGCTGTAGGGCTAATTAAATTTTTTTTATGAAATTTTGGAGAATATAGGAAAGCAATATCTATGGCTCCAGTGGCTGACTTGAATACATGTTTGTTTATCACATCATCAGTCTGTCTGAGCCTTAGATTTGCTAATGATTTATTCAACCTCAACTGCATTAGTACAGAAAAATAAGATATAGCAGCTAGAGTACATGTTTTATTTATGGACTCATAATTGACCTCAACCCCTAGGTAGTATTATCAACAAGACAAGAGAAGAAGAAGCCTTAGAGGAACAATATCTAAGGCTCATTATGACTGACTAAGTGTATATTTCTGTTGTAGGGTTATGGCCCAACATCAGGGAGCATAGGGAACAGGGTATGTGTTTATCCAGCTTCCGCAGTTGGCACAGTATTTCGGAGTCATCACCCTCCTTGGATGCTCATGAGAACCAAGATTTAAAAAGAAGATAATTATTAGTAATTTAATAAAAGACAAACTGTAATATAGAATTGTTTAACATTATAATTTTAATGGCTTGAAGTTGATTTGAAGTAATATAGTACAATTATTTTCAATTATTGTTTATGCTAAATATCTTGCTTATTGCAATAAAGTCTTTTATGGAGGTGGTGGTGATGCCAGGTGCCCTGAGGAAGTCTACTAAGGTTTTCTGTAGGATAGTCCCCCTCTTAACCAAGAAGCTGACCCTGTGTTTGTGGTCTTACTATCTTTACTCCCTTGGCTTCTAGTGGTCTTCTAACACGAGCAGAGTTGTTGTGGCATATGTAACCTTTTATTTATTTTTCCCATACCAAATTCAAAGCTGAACTTTGAAATCATCTTATGGCTGCAAGTATATCTAAATACAGTATGCATATATGATTACTCTTATGAAATAGAACATGGCAGGAGCTAACTGAAGATGCACACACAGTGCAGTGAAAAGTGAGATTTCTCTTTAATTATAAACTAAGCTATTTTTATGTTAACATGAAAATACCATAGAATATTTTTAAAATTTTCAAGTTTCGGTGTACTGTACAAGCTTCTCACAACTAACTGCTTTAACTTTCTATATGCCGCTGAAAATTAAGCTTCATATTTCATCCAGCAGATTCATATGATAAAACAGTTGTACATTATGTACTTCTGGAAGAACTTATGTATAACCTTTGACATCACACAGTACATCTTAAAGAGTAAAGAAACTGATTAAAACCAGGACTGAAAATATTTGTATAGGAAGTTTTATGAAGTGCATTTAATAATAAGTATATATATATATATATATTGTACAGGTATAAATGTATCATATACAGACACTCCCCGGGTTACAGAACACACATTTTATAGAAATAAGAGGATACAGAATGCCTCCCATAAGTCCCATTATAAATATTTTTGGGTTGTGCAGGAGTTTCTGTTATTGTATTATGGAAGGTAACTAGTACGGCGTAACAACAATATTTGTGGAGCGCATATCCTTGTGAGACACCATCTGTGATTCAGTACTGGGTACAATACATATTTACCTTATGGAAGGGTCATTTTGGGTTTACAGAAAATTTGGCTTACAGATAGGGTCCAGGAACAGAACCTTTCCGTAAACCGGTGAATGTCTGTACAGTATATGGAAATTTTTCTCGCACATAAAAAATATTCTTTGTACACCTGTACTGTACTATGAATATTTTCAGCTAAAAGCCAGCATGAAATACTACTTAATTTCTGATCTGTTTGAATGGTAAAAGCCTAACTTCACTTCTCAATAGATAATTCAAAGTAATGTGAAAGGAAATGATATTCTAACAACCAGAACCCACAGGGAATATAAATTAGTGAAATAATTTGTTTTCTCTTGTAGTATTTATTTTGTATATATTGTAACTGATACAAGTGGGAGTTACTTGTGGCTGCTAGTTAATTTTGCTTCCATGACAATGTTCACCATGTTCATAAATAATTATCCTACAATTCTACAACCCAAACAAGCAGTCTGTATCCCCAAAAAGGCATGGATGTTACACAGAAAATATGAAGACACAGGAAACCTCATCCCGTAGCAACAGTGAGGTGAATAAATTACTATATAAATTGCAGGTACAACCTTTGTGCAGGCAAACAAAACTGGAAATTTTGAGCTTCCTATATGCTCTCAACCTTGTTAATTATTAAGTAATTTGTTGACCTTATTTGCCTCATTATTGTACTCACATTTGAGGAAACTGCCTTGTAGTATCAAAACTGTCCTTGTAAGTGGGTTTGATCTCCAGAAAAATGGAACCAATCAGTGACCTCCATACAACACGACAGTCCAGTTAAACATGAAAATCACAAATTAGACCGTATCACTGCCAGAGTCTACAGCTGGCCACTATCACTGCCAGAGTCTACAGCTGGCCACTATCACTGCCAGAGTCTACAGCTGGGCACTATCACTGCCAGAGTCTAAAGCTGGTCACTATTACTGCCAGAGTCTACAGCTGGCCACTATCACTGCCAGAGTCTACAGCTGGCCACTATCACTGCCAGAGTCTACAGCTGGCCACTATCACTGCCAGAGTCTACAGCTGGCCACTATCACTTCCAGAGTCTACAGCTGGTCACTATTACTGCCAGAGTCTACAGCTGGCCACTATCACTGCCAGAGTCTACAGCTGGCCACTATCACTGCCAGAGTCTAGCTGGTCACTATTACTGCCAGAGTCTACAGCCCACTATCACTGCCAGAGTCTACAGCTGGCACAGCCAGAGTCTGCAGCTGGGCACTATCACTGCCAGAGTCTAAAGCTGGTCACTATTACTGCCAGAGTCTACTGGCCACTATCACTGCCAGAGTCTACAGCTGGCCTATCACTGCCAGAGTCTACAGCTGCCACTATCACTGCCAGAGTCTACAGCTCTGGCCACTATCACTACTAGAGTCTACAGCTGGCCACTATCACTGCTGCTGGCCACTATCACTACAGCTATCACTGCCAGAGTCTACAGCTGGCCACTATCACTGCCAGAGTCTACAGCTGGCCACTATCACTGCCAGAGTCTACAGCTGGCCACTATCACTGCCAGAGTCTACAGCTGGCCACTATCACTATTATCAATGGACTCGTATACCTGTACAGTAAACTCTTGCAATTTGCGATTTTGACTATTGACAGTTAGCAGATGGTGGCTGGTTCATGAGCCTCTCCCGCAGCATAACAAGTCATCCCCATGGGCCCTCAGCGTATTCTCTCCCTTTGTTTGCACTCAGCCATTGCCTGTGATGCAGCATCTCTTGTGTTGTACTCAAAACTTAGTTTTTTCTGTGTGAAATGGACCCTGAAAGACTGCCAAGTGTCAATGCTAGTGATGCTAGTGGAGTGAAACATTTAGAGACTTCAAAGCCAAGAGGAAATAACTACCAATCACGATGTTTTTCAAGAAGGAACCAGCTGCTCGCCCTGCTGATTCGTCTCCCTCACCTATTCGGTCAGCTGCTGCCGCCACTCCACCACCCACCTCCCCACCACACGCCTCCCGCCAACCGCCTCTCCACCACGTGCCTCTCCACCAACCACCACTGCATGACCCTCTTTCAACAGTGATCCTGATGATTTCCCTATGCTTCAGTACCCAGATTTCATCCTACTGTACAGTACACTTCATCAAGCTCCAAACTTTCACCTAGAAAGGAGAGTAGTATTGGTGACTTAAGTTTCTCATACACAATATAGGTATATAATAGTGCACTAAGGTAGTATAAGTTGCTATTCACGGTTTTGCAAATTCACGCCATTCCTTGGAACCTAACCCCCGAGAATAGCAAGGGTTTACTATACAGTGAAACCTCCATATAACAGTCCTCAATATAAAGGACTTTCATCTCTATATAGTGCATTGGATGGAGGTTTCACATCGAATGGACCCTTGACATACAGTAACGGACTTTCCTCTCCATATACTCCGTTAATAGAGGTTTTATACAGTACAGTACCTGTGCAACTCCTTACTGTACTGATTATAGTTTCTGTGATATTTATTTGTTGTTCACTTGTGATGACATCACTTCACTTGGTTCACTTCACAAGCACTCATACTACAGGTATATGCTTGTAATTTATGCATTTTTTCCCCAGAAGGCTACTACAGTATTACAACAGCCAGTTACAGTACAGTAGGCCTTGTTAGACATCTCTTGATTCTATTCAATAATTTATAAAAATGTATATGTGGAGCCATTCAAAAACTAAAGTTAATTAAAATTGCAAGTTTTATTTTTTCAATGATATCATATCTCATTTGGCTTTTGAGCTGAGCTTTCTTCTGAATTATCCACCAGTGTTGCCATGTATTCAGATACAATATAATTTATGTGCGAGAAAAAAAATACACATGTTGAGATACACTTTGTACAAACTGCTAATTTATTTCAGAATATAAAAAGTTCATTGAGTTTCTCAATTCAACTTATTTTTTTAAATGAATTGGTTGTGAAATTGTTACATAAAATAAACTTTTTATAATTCATATATCAGTACAATACAGTACTGTATTGTAAAATTGTTCTCAGTTTTGACTAGCTGGTAATATACTGCTGGGATGCTCAAGAAATAATGTGTACAGTATAGTATCAATAAATATCACAGTGTAACAGTTGAATATTAATTTCAGGATGGTAGTAGAATGTCTAAAGATTTTGCTTAAAAGGAAATTAGGAAATAACACCTGTTTAATTTACTTTACTGTAATTTACCTACAGTACTTTATTTATGGTATACCTAATAGCTACCCACTAGAGGTCAGTGGCCTGTGTAGGATCCTTCCAATGTTCTTGATAAGTTCGTCAAACTCTATTTTAAAGCCCAGTACTGGTCTTGGTAACCACAATATTTTTCATGATATTTGGTATCTAGATGGATATACAGTACAACAATAAGAATATTTATTTTTTCTTTTAAAGTAATTACTGTACTTATAATGCAATGGTGTTGGAGAAATGCTTTTTTCTTTTCTATAATTGTTGATGGATAGTGTTTCATAATTAATAAAAATTCTAGTATATACTGAACTGGTATCAAGATTTGAAAGTGCAATACTGTACTGTACATTTATTATTTTTTGGGGGGAGCAACAATTGGTACAGTAGCTTTTATTGTTTTTCCTTGGAACCTTTTTGGAAGTGTGTGAATAATATCTCCATATGTACTGTGTTGTTTATAGGTACAGTAGTCTTTTTTAAGCCAAGCCAGAAAGTCTGTGCTTGATGAAAACAATAAATACTGTAACTGGGTAGTTTAACATAACTTAATTTGCTCTGTGTTTAAAAAAAATGTCAGTTCCTTTGGATGCTTTGTATACACTGACCAATTTGTTTTGAAACCTGACAATGAGCC